ACAGGGAGGCTGCCAAAATGAGAAGACAAAGAAAGATGGCCTAAATGAAAGGACTGATCAAAACTCCAGAAAAGGAGCTAAACAAAATGGAGATAAGCAATCTATCAGATGTAGAGTTCAAAACACTGGTTAAAAGGATACTCAAGGAACTTAGTGAGGACCTCAACAGCATAAAAAAGATCCAGGCAGAAATGAAGGATACACTAATGGAAATAAAGAACAATTTACAGGGAAACATCAGTAGAGTGGATGTAGCTGAGAATCAAATCAATGATATGGCACAAAAGGAAACAAAAAACACCAATCAGAACAAAAACAAGAAAAAAAGAATTAAAAAATTAGAATAGTATAAGCAGCTTATGGGACAACTGCAACTGTATCAACTTTTGCATCATAGGGGTGCCTGAAGAAGAGGAGAAAGAGCAATAAATTGGAAATCTATTTGAAAATATAATGAAAGAAAAATTCCTTAATTTGGTAAAGGAAATAGACGTGCAAGTCCAGGAAGCAGAGAGTCCCAAACAAGATGGATGCAAAGAGGCCCATTCCAAGACACATCATAATTAAAATGCCAGAGGTTAAAGATAAAGAGAGAATCTTAAAAGCAGCAAGAGAAAAGAAGTTAGTTACTTTCAGGGGAGTTCCCGTAAGACTGTCAGCTGATTTCTCAAAATAAACTTTGCAGGCTAGAAGGGATTGGCAAGAAATATTCAAAGTCATGAAAAGCTGGGACCTACAGCCAAGATTGCTCTACCCAGCAAGGCTATTGTCTAGAATTTAGAGGCAGATAAGGAGCTTCCCAGGTGAGAGAAAACTAAAGGAGTTCATCATCATCAAACCATTATTATATGAAATGTTAAAAGGAGTTATTTAAGAAAAAGAAGAAGATCAAGTCTAGGAACAATAAAATGGCACATACCTATCAACAACTGAATCTAAGAAACAAACTAAGCAAACAAGAAGAACAGAGACAGAGTCATGGATAAGGAGAGCATTTTGATGGTTGCTAGATGGGAGGGGAGTTGGGGGGAATTGCAAAGAATTGAAGCGATTAAGAAGTACAAATAGGTATTTGCAGAATGGCCATGGGGATGTAAAGTACACTATAGGAAATAGAATAGCTGAAGAAATTGCCCTGGCTGGTGTGACTCAGTGGACTGAGTGCTGGCCTGTGAACCAAAGGGTCACCAGTTCAATTCCCAGTCAGGGCACATGCCTGGGCTGTGGGCCACGTCCCCAGTAGGGGGTGCATGAAAGGCAACCACACACTGATGTTTCTCTACCTCTCTTTCTTTTTTCCTTCCCTTCTCTAAAAACAAATAAATAAAATATTTTTTTAAAAGAACTAATATACATGACCCATGGGCATGAACAATGGTTTGGGGATTGCCTGAGGGAGTGGGATTTCTGGGGGGAGGGAGCAAAGGGAGAAAAATTGGGACAACTATAACAGCATAATCAATGAAATATAATTTAAAAAAAAGAACAAAGTAGTGATACATAGTACAATGTGGATGAATCTTGAAAACACGCTGAGTGAAATAAACCAGACACAATGGACAAATATTATATTATTCTATTTATAGAAATTATGCATAAAAGGTAAATCCATAGAGACAGAAAGTAGATTAGTGGTTACCAGGAACTAGGGAGAAAAAGGAATGGGGAGTGAACTCTTCAGGGTGAAGTGTTTCCTTTAAAGGTGGTAAAAAATTTCTGGAATTAGATAGTGATAGATTGTGGATGTACTGGAAGCCACTGAATTATACACTTAAAGATTTTATTTATTTTTAGAGAGAGGAGAAGAAAGGGAGAAAAAGAGGGAGAGGAACATCAATGTGTGAAAGATACATCGATTGGTTGCCTCTCATGTACCCCCCACTGGGGACCTGGCCTGCAACCTAGGCATGTACCCTGATTGCAAATCAACTGGCAACCCTTTGGTTCACAGGCTGGTGCTCAATCCACTGAGCCATACCAGCCAGGGTGAATTATGTACTTTAAAATACTTTATTTATTTATTTTCAGATAGAGGGGAAGGGAAGGAGAAAGAAGGAAAGAAACATCAATGTGTGGTTGCCTCTCACGCACCCCCTACTAGGGACTTGGCCTGCAACCCAGGCATGTGCCCTGATTGGGAATTGAACCAGCAACCCTTTGGTTTGCAGGCTGGTGTTCAATCCACTGAGCCACACCAGCCAGGGAAAATTATATACTTTAAATGGTTAAAATGGTTTATTTATGTCATGTAAATTTTACCTAAATAAAATAAGGGAATAAAAGAGATCACAGAACTATATTGAACAAAGGAAATATTCTCTAGGGGTTTTATTTAGCTTAAGCATTGTAATCAATGATACAATATTAAAATGTTTTCTCTTAAAATACATAAAGCAGTTTTATTTTTTCTTTAGAATTTAAGTGATCTACTAAGAAGTTTAAAAGCTTCTCAAAATATTGATATTTTAAATATTTTTCTCTGTGTACAGATACATACACTGTCTTTGTCTTTTTGTTTTAGACAACTGAAACCATATATACATACTCTTTCATAAGATTTTACACATATTTAATTCATTCACTGAAAAAGAATTTATTAAGCAGCAATTATAGGCTAGGTACTGTTAACACCAGGAATACAGTGAGGAGCAAGATAAACAAGGTTTCTGTCCTCAGTGTGCTTGGAAAATGCATGACAAAGACATATGCATAAATAAAAGATATATTTTCAGAAGTGTTATTGGAGTTCTGTCAGGTTCTTCTTTACTCACTTCCCACAAAAACATGTCACTTGAAATTTCTGGGCATGAAGGCAAATATATGTTTCTATGCGGTGAGATTGGTTTTTATTCCCCAGAAATTTTCCCATGAGGATTTATCTCCAAAAAGCTGTAAGTGTAAGAGAAAGACTACATTTTGTAAGTAGTTTTATGTGCTTCCCTCTGCAGATGATGGAGGTGGGAGAACCAGAAGCTTGTTACCAAGCTATATGAATGCAGCAACAATTTGTGTAGGATTTAGGCTAGGTCAGTGTTCCTTCTGATGATAGGGCTAAACTCTCAAAAGCCTTTCAGTGGGTGCCAAGGGAAAAAGTGGATGAGAAGCTGTTAGCTGCATTCATCCTGAAGGCTCCACCATGGTGTGAATACATGTGTGCAAATGGAGATTACTATGCATTTCCCAAAGACTTCTAGGTGGAATTTATCCAATAATACTAATGTTCACAAGGCACACAGAAACATATTTAGCTCCCACATTTTAACTGCATGTACAAATGTATATTTGCATTTACAGTTTAGTAAACACACTTAAAACTTTGGCTCATGGCAAGTAAAGGCACTGTTTAGAGCAAAGACTTTTCAATTAAAAACTTGATGTGGTAAGTTCCAGCCAAGATGGAGGCATAGGTAGAAACTCTTTGCTTCCTTGCACAACCAAAAGGAGGATAACAACCAATCTAAAATCAGTAAACAGCCAAAAGTGCCAGAAAATCAAACTGTATAGAACTCCAACAACCAAGGATTTAAAGAAATACTCAACCAGAACAACTAGACTGGTGTGCTGAGACAAAGAATTAAGGCCCAAATGAAAGAACAGAGCAAAACTTCAGAAAGACAGCTAAGCAATGAGGAGATAGCCAACCTGTCTGATAGAGAATTTAAAGACCTGGTAATCAAAATGTTCACAGAACTGATTGAGCTTGGTTGAAAGATGAAAAAACAAATGAAAGATACCCAAAATGAAATAAAGCAAAATATTCAGTAAATCAACAGTGACTGGAAGGAAACCAGGACTCAAAGCAATGATTTGGAACAAAAGAAAGAAATAAACATCCAGGTGGAACAGAATGAAGAAACAAGAATTCAAAAACATGAAGAGAGACTTAGGAACCTCTGGGACAACATGAAATGTTCCAATATCTGAATTATAGGGGTGCCAGAAGGAGAAGGACAACAGCAAAAAATAAAAAACTTATTTGAACAAATAATGAAGGAATACTTCCAGAATCTGGTGAAGGAAATAGACTTCTAGGAAGTCCAGGAAACCCAGAGAGTCCGAAAGAAGTTGAACTGAAAGAAGAACACACCAACGCACATCATCATTAAGTTACCCAAGATTAAAGACAAAGAGAGAGTCTTAAAAGCAGCAAGAGGAAAGGACAGAGTTACTTACAATGGAGTGTCCATAAGACTATCAGCTGATTTCTCAAAAGAAACCTTGCAGGCAAGAAGAGGCTGGAAAGAAGTATTTGAAGTCATGAAAGGCAAGGACCTACATCCAAGATGACTCTATCCAGCAAAGCTATCATTGAGAATGGAAGGGCAGATAAAGTGCTTCCCAGATAAGGTCAAGTTAAAGAAGTTCATCATCACCAAGCCCTTATTAATATGAAAAGTTAAAGGGACTTATCTAAGAAAAAGAAGATAAAAATATGAACAATAAAATGACAACAAACTCAAAACTATCAACAAATGAACCTAAAATAAAAGAAAAACAATGAAAACAAAAACTAAGCCAACAACTAGAACAGGAACAGAATCAGAGAAATGGACATCACATGGTTTTCAGTGGGGAGTGGGAAGGGAGGAATGGGGGGGAAAGGTACAGGGAAGAAGAAGCATAATTGGTAGGCATAAAATAGACAGGGAGAGATCAAAAATGGCATAATAGGAAACAGAGAACTCAAAGAACTTATATGTACAACTCATGGGCATGAACTAAGGGGGGATGTTGGAGGGTTGGGAGGTACAAGGTGGAGGGGGGATTAAGGGGAAAATTGGGAAAACTAATAGCAAAATCAGTAAAATAGAATTAAAAAATAAGTTACTAATACAGACAAAAAACTCAATGTGGTGCTATCGTTAAAATACCTTGCAAGTAGCAAAAACCACTTAAACCACTTAATATCTGCCCAAATGTATGTTAGTGGGCAAAAGTGCTTATGATTGACTACTGAAGCCATCACAGCTATTAGCAAAAGAATAACATAAGTAACTAACCTGGATTTTCCATTGACATGAAGACAGTTTCTCCTGAGAATGGGAATAGAGTCAGTGTGTCTCCATAGACCATTTTGTGTTTGAAGGTATATCCAGAAAAGAAGACAGAAAGGAAGTCAGTCTGTGCTCCAACACTTAGAATGTACCAGTATGCCACCTCATGTAAACAGACTGACAGCTGCAAACTATCAAAAACATAGCCATTGATGCCTGCAAAACAAATGGAGAACAAGAAGTTTTAGCAATATCAGGATTTATTATTTTGGACTGTCATAATAGGATTAAAATGATTATATTATGTCTGAGAACAAAGAGCACTATATCATCCAGAAAAATAGATTGTTAATATTTGATCAGCTAGGTCCCAATACTAAGGTGAGGAGAGTCTTTACCATCATGGTAAAGATGGATTTGGATGCTATATGATGGGAAGGAGCAGGGCATTTGTATGGTCTCAAAGTGTCTCCCTACAAACTGCTTCTTAGTTGCAAGGGGGGAAGTAGTAACTACACAGAGGAAAAAAAACAGGAAAAACAAAACAAAACAAAACAAACCTCCATCAAGTGGTAATGTGGTAAGTATATGTTCAACTATAAAAGAAACTGTCAAACTGCCTTCCAGAATGTATCATTCATTACACATCTCCACCAGCAATGTATGAGGGTTCCTATTTCTCTGCACTCTTGCTAGCATATTTAATATTGCCTGTTTGTTTTATTTTAGCTATTAAAATAGGAGTGTAGACATATCTCATTGTGTTTTTCTTGAATTTATTGGGGTGACACTGGTTAATAAGATCATATAGGTTTCAAGTGTAGATTTCTATGATGCATACTCTGTATATTGCATTGTGTGCCCACCACCCAAAGTCAAATCTTATTCTGTCACCATATATTTGGTCCCCTTTATCCTTCACAACCCTCCAACCCTCTTCCTTCTGGTAACCACCATACTTTTGTCTTTGTCTATGAATTTCACTTTTGTATTAGCTTTTTTCTGAGTGACTTATTTCTTTTAGTATAATATCCTCAAGGTCCATCCATGTTGCTGCAAATGGCAGTATTTTATCTTTTCTTATGATTGAGTAGTATTCCATAGAATGTATGCACCACATATTCTTTATCCAATCCCAATCCTTTAATGAAAGACACTTTGGTTGTCTGCATCTCTTGGCTACCATGAATAATGCTGCAGTGAATATAAGGGTGCATATATCTTTGCAAATAAATATTTTTGAGTTTTTTGGGTAAATACCCACAAGAGGGATTGCTAGGTCAGTATGGTAACTCTATTCTTAATTTTTTGAGGAACATTCAAACTGTTTTCCATAGGGGCTATGCCAGTTTACATTTCCACTAGTATTGAATGAGGGTTCCCTTTTCTCCACAACCTCTCCAATACTTGTTATTACTTGTCTTGTTGATAACAGTCATTTTAACAGATGTGAGGTGGAATCTCATTGTAGTTTTGAATTGCATTTTCCTAGTAGCTAGTTGAGCATCTTTTCATATATCTGTTGGGCATTTGTATGTCTTTATGGGAGAAGTGCTTTTCAGGTCCTCTGCTCATTTTTAAATTGGATTGTTTGGTGTTGAGTTCAATGAGTTATTTATATATTTTGGATATTAACCCCTTGTTGGAACTGTTGTCTGCAAATATCATCTCCCATTTGATTGCTTGCCTTTTGATTTTGTTGGTGGTTTCTTTTGCTGTGCAGAAGCTTTTTAGTTTGACATAATCCCATTTATTTATTTTTGCCTTTACTTCCTTTGCCTTTGGGGTCAAATTCATAAAATTTTCTCTAAGATGAAGGTTCATAAGATTAGTGCCTATGTTTTCTTCTATGTAATTTATTGTTTCAGATCTTATATTTAGGTCTTTGATCCATTTTGAATTAATTTTTATGCATGGGGACCAATTATGATGATGGTGGTTTTAATATGCATTTCTTTAATGGCTAATGATGAGTTTTTTCATGTAACACTTTGTCTGCCATATATCTTCTTTGATGATGTGTCTGTTCAAATCTTTTGCCCATTTTTACGAGTTTGTTTGTATTCTTACTGTTGAGACTCACAGTTCAGACTTGTGATGTGCAAATATTTTCTACCAATCTGTGGCTGGTCTTTTCATTCTCTTTAACAGTATAAGAGCAAAAGTTTAAAATTTTGTTAGTTTATTTTATTCATTAGATTCCACTTATAGATGAGATCATATGGTATTTGTTTTTCACCAACTGGATTATTTCATTTAGCATCATATTCTCCAGTTTCATCCGTGCTGTCACAAAAGGTAGGAATTCCTTCTTTCTGCTGTGTAGTATTCCATTGTGCAAATGTACCATAGTTTTTTGATCCACTCATTTACTGATGGGCACTTAGACTGTTTGCAGCACTTAGCTATTGTAAATAGTGCTGCTAAGAATATAGGGGTGCATAAGTTCTTTTGAACTGGTGATTCAGGATTCTTAGGGTATATTTCCAGCAGCAAAATCACTGGGTCAAAAGACAGTTCCATTTTTAGTTTTTTAAGGAAATTCCATACTGTTTTCCACAGTGGCTGCACCAGTCTGCACTCCCACCAACAATTCACTAGGGTTCTCTTTCCTCCACAGCCTCATCAGCACTTGTTGTTTGTTGGTTTACTAATGATGGCCATTCTGATAGGTGTGAGTTGATATCTCAATATGGTTTTAATTTGCATCTCTCTGACCACTAGTGATGTTGAGCATCTTTTCATGTGTCGATAGGCCATCTGTATGTCCTTCTTGGAGAAGTGTCTGTTCAGGTCCTTTGCTCATTTTTTAATTGGATTTTTTGTTTTCCTGGTGTTGAGTCAGATGAGTTCTTTATATATTCTGGAGATCAAAGCCTTGTCAAATGTATTGTTGACAAATATATTTTCCCATATGGTCAGTTCCCTTTTCATTTTGATGATGGTTTCTTTAGCCATACTGAAGCTTTTTTTACAAAAAAAGATTTTATTTATTTTTAGAGAGGGGAAGGGAAGGAGAAATAGAGGGAGAGACACATCAATGTGTGGTTGCCTCTCACTCACCTCATACTAGGGACCTGGCCCACAACCCCGGCATGTACCCTGACTGGGAACCAAACTGGTGACCCTTTGTTTCACAGGCTGGTGCTCAATCAACTGAGCCACACCAGCCAGGGCTGAAGCTTTTTAAATTGATGTTGTCCTCTTTGTTTATTTTTCCATCATTTCCCTTGACCTAGGAGATACATTGGCAAAAATATTGCTACATGGTATATCTCAAATTTTCCTGCCTATGTTTTCCTCTAGGACTTTTACGGTGTCATGACTTACTTAAATCTTTTGTCTATTTTGAGTTTATTTTGGTCAATGGTGTACGTTGGTGATCTAGTTTCTTTCTTTCTTTCTTTCTTTTGGTTTTTTTTTTTTTTGCATGTACCAGTCCAGTTCTCCCAACATCATTTGTTGAAGAGACTATTTTTACTCAATCATATGCTTATGCCTCCTTTGTCAAATATTATTTGACTATAGAGACATGGGTTTATTTCTGGGCTCTCTACTCTGTTTTGTTAAAGATGTTTAACTAAGTCCAGTGGGATACAGAGGGTGACATGTGCTTATTCCATTTTAACCAGAACCAGAACTCTGAAAAGCACATATTTTTAATTTAATGCTTTCAATCAGATTGTTTTCTACTAACATTATATGGGAATACCCTTTCACTGACAAGCCCACTAGTAATAACTGTCTTATGATTTTGGCAATCTGTTAGGTATAAAGTGCTATCACATTGGTATTCTATTTTGTATTTCCCTGTGAGATTGAAAATTTTTATCATATTTTTTACCATTCCTATCTGTGTGTTTATATAGACACATACACATATGTATGTATGCTATAGGCTGAATTGTGCTCCTACCCAAATTCATATATTGAAGTTCTAACTCATAGTGGCTCATGTGGCTGCATTTAGAGATAGGTCTTTAAACAGGTAATTCATTAAAATGAGATGATTAGGGTGGGCTCTAAGTCTATATGACTGATGTTCTTATATGAAGAGGAAATTTGTACATAGACATGTGCATACACAAAGGAAAAGACCATGTGAGGACCCAGGGAGAAGACAGCCATCTACAGGCCAAGGAAAGAAACCGCAGAACACACCAATCCTGAGGACACCTTGATCTCTCAGACTTCTAGCTTCCAGAATTGTGAGGAAATAAATTTCTGTTGTTGAAGCCATCCAGTCTGTGGTGGCAGTCTTTGTTATGGCAGGCCTAGCAGAGTAATACAACATATATATGTGCTTACATAGGATTATATAATGATGGAGAAAATGTTTTAACACAGGCTAACTAAACCCAGAATGGTTAGTAGAAAGGTGCAATACGGAAAGAGATGGAAAGATAAAAAGAAGGGGGCAATCAAGTGATTATAAAAAGGGTCACATTATACACCTTAAATATATAAATTTTTATTTGTCCATTATATATCAATAAAGCTGGAAAAAAAGATGTTGGCTTTTTTTAATGTACAATGTCGATGAATTTGACTGTTAAATTGCTATAGCTGACAATTGTTTTATATATGTAAAATTGTTTTCCTTTGTATTTCATGTGTAATTTACCAGTTGAGTGTATTTTATATTAAGTATGAATTATGCATGTTTGGGTAAATGAAAGCTGTGTCTTATTTGATTTATCCTTTAAATATAATATTCTCTGAATATTTGATGCTTTCTAAAAGAAAAAATATGGAGATCAAACCCTTGTCTGAGATATCATTTGCAAATATATTTTCCCATGCAGTTGGATCCCTTTTCACTTTGCTGATGTTTTGTTTTGCTGTGCAGAAGCTTTTTATTTTGACAAAGTCCAATTTGTTAGTCTTTCATTTACATCCCTTGCTGTAGGGGACATATCAGTGAAAATATTGGTGCATGGAATATCTGAGATTTTCCTGCCTATGTTCTCTCTCCTCTAGGACTTTTATGGTGTTGTGGCTTATTTAAGTCTTTTATATGGAGTTTATTTTTGTGTATGGTGTAAGTTGGTGGTTGAATTTCATTTTTTTTTGCATGTAGCTGTGCAGATTTCCCAACACCATTTGTTGAAGAGGCTATTTTTACTCCATTTTAGGCTTCTGCCTCTGCAAGCAGGAGCTCGTACCATTTGCAAAAGCATGAATGGAACTGGAGAGCATTATGCTAAGTGAAATAAACCAGGCAGTGAAAGACAAATACCATATGATCTCACCTATATGTGGAACCTAATCAACAAAACAAACAAGCAAGCAAAATATAACCAGAGACATTGAAATTAAGAACAAACTGACAGTAACCAGAGGGGAGGTGGAGAGGGATTATGGGGGAATATAGGGGAAGGGTTGTCAAAGAACATGTATAAAGGACCCATGGACAAAGCCAAAGTGGGTAGGATCAAGGGTGGGAGGCGGGGCTGGGTGTGTTGGGGGAGAGTGGTCGGGTGAAAGTATAGACAACTGTATTTGAACAACAATAAAAATGTGAAAAAAATAAAGTTAACTGGATATTAAAAGAGAAAAATATGTTTCATGAACATACATTTATATACAATTACAAATGTTCATATGTAACACTTTTTAAGCAACTGTGACTCCTGCATGGCATATAAATTACTCCATTATGTGGACATCAATTTGGTGGCTTCAATTTCCGTTTATCTATTACCCATTAGACTCAGGTGCTGCTTTACTTACTGTGCATGATGTTGGAAACTTGGAACTCTGAATCCTGGGGCTGCACCCCATCTGCATTGGGGAGGAAGCGCCGCATATTCTCTGTGAGATACCAGCTTCGATTCTCATCAAATACAGAAAACAGGATGACATTTCTCTTGTCTGACATCATCTGTTAATTACATGTATTGAAAGAAGGAAATACTACTACTATTATCAGTTAAGAATTTGCAGTCTATAACAGAAGTGATGGTATACATGGTATATACCTATAATCCTTTGGTTCCATTTCTCCATAGGGTCAATATTATGGCATATACCAGGGCCTGGGAATGGGAGTAAGTAGTACACTATGAGCAGTAAGTGTATGTCTAGAGCAAATGTGTCCTTAGGGCAAGAGGGTGACTGGACCCATTAAACTTCATTTATTTTGGACCCAAAACCAAATGCTGGTTGATTTTTTGGTACAGGCTGCAGCTTCATTTTTTCTATGTTCTTTATGGAGGGGTTTTACTCTTAAAGACTCAAGTGATTATTCGGTATCTTTCTTAAAAAGTTAGTCATGCCAAATAAGATTAATGCCTTCCCTAAATGTCTCTACCAACTGCCCTTCCACAATGCTACCAATCTATTAAAAAAATTAAAAATACAAAACAGAGACCAAATAACAAAGATGAATCATAAAATGTTAATTAACATGAATACCTTAAGTTTTCTATTTAAAAAATTTAAAGTATTTTTCAGAAGAGCAGTTTGTATATGAACCAAAGTTATGAGTTAATCATTTGCTAATTGAATCTTCTAAGATTTAATGTGTAAACTTCACTAATATGTATCAATTTATCAATTTTGTTTTGTGTAACATCATTACAGAAACCAAAATGCTGGGGAAGAGAGAATAAAGAATATAGAAGTACATTTTGGTCCTTTTCCAAAAATTAGTGGAAAAAGTATAATTAGGAATATATTTTCAAGATAAGTACTTGGCCAAATTTATGCCTCTCTGGGTTTGTGTGCCACATGTTTTTCCTGCATTAAAATTCATGTGCTTTAGTCTCTGAACCAATGAAATGTTTTCAGACTTATAGGAATCCTAGATATCATAAATGTCCAAATGGACATACTGTCAAGCCTTAGCAATATGGCAATAAGTTTTTGTGAAGAAGTAAGGTTTTCTTATTCAGAGAATTTAACTTCATGAGTTAAAGTAGCAGAAGTGGTCCAATTCTACTCATATTCTGAAATATTATGTATCTTCCCTTGTATTTTGCTCAACAAATATTCATTGAACTCTAGAGAAGTCTAGGCTGTGTTATAGACTCGTGTGTCATCTAAAAATAGGTGATGATTGAACATGTTAAAATGGGCAAGATCTATTACAGGGAGTGGAATATTGGACTGGGTATGAGTATTATAGAAATAATCTAGAGCCCAGGTCTCCTATGCATCCAGCAGGCAAGATTATTATACCAAACTCAAAATCAATTAACAGCTGTGAGAGACCCAACTCATTTCTTTTATTGGTCAATATTGCAGATGACTATATTTTCTGCATGCTACTGGGAGACATACACTGAGGGAGTAGGAAATATTATGTGGAAGTTCATATATATCATCATTCAATTTTTATCTTCTAATCCAGCACTTAGGGAGAGAACTCACCTGGTTTCCCCTTTGATCTACAGATTCTTTGTAGCAGATAAGGAGAGGGCCGATGAGTCCTGAAGCTAGATCTCTCTCTAGATTAATAGAACTCAAGTAATAGCGGGTCAGGCACCGAGGATCTGATTTAGTTGGCCCATCTTCTACAGTCACTGTCCATTTATATTTGAATATCTTTCCTGGCAGAATTGGCATATCTTTCAGATGTTTCACACCTACCCACATCCAAACCACAAAATAGCTTGATTAGAGTATAACAAGCCACATATTAGTAATCATGTTGCTATTGCAAGAGCTCTACAAAACTATATGTACATATGACATTTCTCAATAAATGGAAACTAAGTTAGCACTTATTATAAATTTAAGATTTATGTACATATTTTACAATAAAAATGAGCCCAGGAAATTTTTGTTAGTATGTTAGTTTGAGTTGACAGGTCTCAACTCAAGTCTGAGCAGGTCTACCCACTATTACAAATATAGAGATATAATAGATAATAATTTATATATATATATATATTTTAAATACATAGCTGAAAATGTGTACAGAAGCAAAAAAAATCTCAAGTGCTAAAATAGAGATGTCAATGTCAGAGGGGAAGCTGCAGTTGGTAATCCAGTTGACCATGAAATTTTCAGGCCTGAATATATGCCGAAGGACTGTGCACTGAAGTTTTAACTCACATTTGGTATAAAAAGATGTGGTATATGACCCCTGTGAGAAATAGGAACAAGAATTGAGACCTGCTCTCAGGCTAATAGGTCCTCGGGATAAGAGGTACCTGATTTTAGTAATTAAAACTCACTTTAGGGTATATTTAAAATGTGAAGATCCAGTCTAAATAAAAATTTCTACTTTATATCTGTTCTAAGCCCTCCCACATTCCTTTTAGGTTAAGCCTGACTAATGGATAGGGTACTTATGGAAAAAATGATATGGTATTTCTGTATTTCTCAGCCTGTTCCCTTTCTTCTTCTACTAGTTGAGAGTGAGAGTGGACAGGTATTAGAGGAAAGGGTCAATAGACTTTTGCTTAATAGATCTTGCTGTTTGAGTATTCTCTCTTTTTATTTTTTTAAATTGTATTCTATTGATTATGCTATTACAATTGTCCCAATTTTCTCTCTTTGCCCTCCCTCCACTTAGCACTCCCTACTCCCTCAGGAAATCTCGACACCTTTGTTCATGTCCATGGGTCATGCATATAGGTTCTTTGGCTACTCCATTTCCTGTACTGTACTTTACATCCCCATGGCTATTCTGTAACTACAATTTGTACTTCTTAATCCCCTCACCTTTTCACCCATTCCACTATACCCCCTTCCCATCTGTGAACCCAAAAATTTTTTTAAAGGAAAAGAACATCTTAAAGTATTCCATTGGAATCAAGACTATTGAAACACCCATTGCTACAAGGTTCACTCTTAATCTCAATTGTCATCACTGTGGAGGCAAGTACCACCAGTTGAGCCATTAGAATTATGTCAGAGTTAGGAACCATCAAATAGTCACGCTTCTTCCATTCCTGGCAATGAATCCTGGTGGAATGACATTATGCCATCTGAGACAATGTTATGGCCATTAAAGTTGGTTTCCAAAAATGGAAACTCACAGATAACTTCCAAATCCTCATCTCTTGCCCCCACCTTTAAATATTTTTATGATATAATTTATTAATCAGGGTCCCACAGAAAGTATATACCTCTTTTGAACTGGATAATTTTAAGAGGTTTAATAAAGAGACTGTTTGTAGACACATTCTAATTAAAATGCCAAAGGTTAAAGACCAAGAGAGAATCTTAAAAGCAGCAAGAGAAAAGCAGTTAGTTATATACAAAAGATTTCCCATAAGACTGTCAGCTGATTTCTGAAAAGAATCCTTGCAGGCAAGAAGGGGCTGGAAAGAAGTATTTCAAGTCATGAAAGGCAAGGACCTACATCCAAGATTATCCTACCTAGCAAAGCTATTATTTGGAATGGGAGGGCAGATAAAGTGCTTCCCAGATAAGGTCAAGTTAAAGGAGTTCATCATCACCATGCCCTTATTATATGAAATGTTAAAGGGACTTATGTGAGAAAAAGAAGATAAAAAATATGAACAGTGAAATGACAACAAACTCACTGCTATCAACACGGAATAAAAAAAACAATAAAAACTAAGCAAACAACAAGAACAGGAACAGAATCACAGAATTGGAGATCCCATGGAGGGTTATCAGTGGGTAGAGGGGAGGGGTGAGAATGGAGGAAAAGGTACAGGGAATAAGAAGCATAATTTGTAGGTACAAAATAGACAGGAGGAAGTTAAGAACAGTATAGGAAATGGAGAAGCCAAAGAGCTTATATGTACAATCCATGAACATGAACTAAGGTGGGGGAAATGCTAGAGGGAGGTGGACGTAGGGTGGAGGGAGATAAAGGGGGGAAGAAAATTGGACAACTGTAATGGCATAATCAGTAAAATATACCTAAAAAAGAAATAAATACAATGCCTAAGAAGCTGGAAGACCTAAGGGATATGGTGAAGAGGTATACATTTCTTCTAATAAAAGAAAAGAAAATCTTTCTTCAGGAATACAAACACAAAAATTATGACATCAGCATGGCCCTAATATAAAGCAAACTAAAATGTAACATGGTTTTGAACTACCCATAGAAAATAAGGAAGGACAATACATATTACCTTAGTAGTAAACTCATTGGAACTTTAGACAAAAGAATAATCACAGCATATCACATAGTTCTGTATCAAATTCATAAACTTAGAATAAGAAACACATACTAAAATAATATAAATGCTGTTTTTTTAAAGATTTTATTTGCTTATTTTTAGAGAGGGAAGGGAGGGAGAGAGCGAGAGAAACATCAATGTGCGGTTGCTGGGGGCTGTGGCCTGTAACCCAGGCATGTGCTCTGACTGGGAATCGAATCTGCGATGCTTTGGTTCACAGCCCGTGCTCAATCTACTGAGCTATGCCAGCCAGGGCCATAAATGCTGTTTTTTTAATTGTTAAAGTTTAGAATAAATATATAGACAAAGGAGGGAGTTATTTACCAATACAGTACAAAAGTAAGTGAGTGTTATCAATTTTAGTTTAATAAAAGTAAAGGTATGGCTGGCAGCTGTTGCGAAATGGAATAATTAGAGTCAGGGAAAGGGCACTGTTGTTAATACCCTTAACTTACAAATTATAGAGCCAAGAGTTATTCAATCATGAAAATATAAAAGTGGGTGTTTAGTATATTTCTAAATGATGGCCATTAATGATGGCCATTTGAGGAACTAAAAACACTGACAAAAGTTGAAAGGAACTGGAATGGAAAGAAGCACAATGCTAAATCCTCATTTAACACAAAATAAAATAAATATATAATGTGTAAAGTTGAAAAACAAAACATTAGCATATAAGTAATTTTTTAGAGATGCCCACCAAAAATATAATGCAGAAATACTGAAAAATTAAGGCCTCTAGGGAGTGAGATTTACAGCCTTTCTGTAGTTTTAAATATTTTAAAAATAATTTTTAATTTTTCAATTACAGTTGACATACATTATTATATTAGTTTCAGGTGTATACTCCAGTGACTAGACATTACATAACTTACTGAGTGATCATCTTGATAAATCTCATACCATACATACTTATTAGAATATTGTTAACTATATTCCCTATGCTATAATTTGTATCCCTTTGGCTATTCTGTAACAACCAATTGTACTTCTTAATTTCTTCTTTTTCACCTATCCCTCCAACCCTCCTCCTATATGGGAACCATCAAAATGTTCTCTGTATCAATGTGTTTGTTTCTGTTCTGCTATTCATTTGTTTTTTAGATTCAATTGTTGATAGGTATGTATTTTTGCCATTTTATTGTTCATATTTTATCTTTCTTTTTAAAGAAGACCCATTAACAATTCATATAATACTGGTTTGGTGGTGATGAACTCCTTTAGCTTTTTCTTGTCTGGGATGCTCCTTATTTGTCCTTCAATTCTAAATGATAGCTTTGCTGGGTAAAGTAACCTTGGTTGTATGTCCTGGTTTTTTATTACTTTGAGTATTTCTTGTCAATCCCTTCCAGCCTGCAATGTTTCTGTTGACAAATCCACTGACAGTCTTATGGGAACTCCCTTGTACATAACTAACTGCTTTTGTTTTGCTGCTTTTAAGATTCTGGCTGTCTTTAACTTTGGGCATTTTGATTATGATGTGTCTCGGGATAGGCCTCTTTGAGTTCATCTTGTTTGAGACTCTGCACTTCCTGGACTTGTGTTTTTCCTTCACTAAGTTAGGAAAGTTTTCTATCATTATTTTTTCAAATAGGTTTTTAATTTCTTGATCTCTCTCTTTTCTTACTGGCACCCCCATGACGTGAATGTTGGAATACTTGAAGTTGTCTCAGAGGCTCCTTACACTATCCTCACATTTTTTGGATTGTTTTTCCTTTTTGCTATTCTGATTGGGTGTTTTTTGCTTCCTTATATTCCAAATCACTAATTCATTTCCAGCTTCATCTACTCTACTGTTGATTCTCTGTAAATTATTCTTCATTTCAGTTAGTGTATCCTACATTTCTGATTGGTCTTTTTTTAAATGCTGTTTAGTTTCTTACTAAGTTCATTGAGCATCATTATAACCAGTGTTTTGAACTCTGGCATCTAGTAGATTGCTTGTTTCCATTTTTTTTTCTTTTTCTGGAGTTTTGTTCTTTCATTTGGTACGTGTTTCTTTGTCTCCCCATATTGCAGTTTCTCGGTGTTTTTTTTTTTTCTATGTATTAGGTAGAGTTGCTACATCTCCCAGACTTGGTAGAATAGCTTAATGTAGTAGGTGTTTCTGTGAGGTCCAATAGCACAGCCTACTTGGTCATCCAAGCTGGGCCCTCAAGACACACCATTTCTGTAAGCTTTATACAACCTCCTCTTGTAGTTGAGCCTTGATTTCTGTTGGCATGTCATTTGGTGGGGGGTAGATTACTTCTCAGGCTGATAAGCAGGAAGGAATGGCTGTAACCACCAACCTCCAACCACCATGGAGTATCAGCGGTGCAGGGGCCCACCCCACAGGGCAAGACTTATTTCTGCTGGGCTTTAATGCCCATGAGTTGTCCCCTTGAATGCGTCACTTGTGGAGGTTGTTGAGTGGTGTGTCAATGTGGTTTGAAGCTGTCTACTGGGTACGCTGGCTCTGGGGCCTCCCACTAGGTGCA